CAGACTCACACTCTCGTTCACCTCCTGGATGGCGTTTACCCGCTTGGAAACTTTTTCCACTCGTTTTTGGTCCTAAAAAATAATTATTTTTTTATTGTAACAGGTCTATGGACTCTTATTGATTTTTTTTTTTTTTTGCTAATTTCAAACCAGTTTTTGGATAACTTTACATTTGTTTGGGCTAACTTCTCACTGGTTGGCTAACACTGGTTTTTGGCTTACTCCAAATTGTTTAAGGCTAATAAACACATGGCCTTCATTGGCATTTAAAGGTTAGATCAAATGTGTAGCTGAGGATGTATAAAAGCATGTCAAAAAAAAAATCAATATTTTCTGCTATCATAAAAATAAATCCGGATAATTCCTCCACAAGTAAGTAAAACGTCAAACACAACACATACTGTATAAGATGCACATTAAATGTATGCACATACAGTATGCTGTACTGTGAATTTGTTTAACATAGCCAATGACTTACTTCCTGGACCATTTCCTTAATGAGTTTGTTTGCTGCTCTTAGATCGTCTGGGTGAGTGCTGTTCAATAAATGGGACAACATCTACAAAAACAGGAGAAGACAAGGAAAGAACAGGAGGTTCATTAGTAAAGAAGGTGCTTCTTGTGAGTAAAAACTTGTGAATTGGTTATAAAATGAAGATGTGGATTTGTTTTTTTGTCCATCTTCTTGCTACCTTGGATTTATCCTCATCTTCAAAGATAGCACTTTTGGCTCTGGGTGGAGGGGGTGGCAGGGACTTGTCCTCAGGAAGGACAGGATCCTGTTTGACAATGCCTGGAAGAAAACAAGGACAGAGGTTGATCTTTGACCTTTTCAGGTATTTACATTATGTAAAGGTCTCAATGGCAGTTGCAGTTTTAGTCTGTCAGACACATTGTATGTAACACTAAACAACGGTACAAAGTACAACTGATACTCTGTGCACAATGACTGAAATATCAGAGTTGAACGGGGATCAATCAGAGCAGTGACTGAAAATGAATATTTATGAAACTATAAACTTTGTCTTCTAGCTGTTTATTACACAGGTCAGGCACTCACCCTGTTTTTTCAGCATCTGATATGCGTCTGAAATCTTATTTTCATCTGGCAGCCTCACCGTCCAGCTGTACATAATTTCCAGCACCTTCTTTTTCACTGACTCTGGAGTCCTGGAACCTAAATACTGTAGCAAGAGAGTGAGGAGAATGGTTCGCAACTTTGAGTTTGTAACATGGGGAACCACTGTATATGTGTAAAATTTCTGCAGCGACACCTGCGTGTTGTAATCACACTCCTGCATGACTTGTGTCAGAGTACAAAGAGCTGCAGCCAAACTGGAATAACAGCACAGAACAATGAGTACCTTAGGTGAAACCACTTTGATGAGCTCATTAAGGAAGCGGAATTTTCCCACTTCACTGTGGAAACGTCTTCCACATTCATCCATGCAAGTTTCCAGAACCTGAGAAATGGTAAATCAAAAAATAGTCAGGTTCACACAGACGCTACACTAATACAAGATAAACTCAGGGTTCCTCAGGATTTGTGGGTTTTTTTATATATATGTTTCTTTTTTAGAAAGCAGACGAACAATTTCAGGCAGCTTAGTCTCTTACTGTCAGTGCTTGCGTCGCCTCCCACTCCTGAGGAGACTGGATCTTGTGAGCCAGAAGTCGAGTTGCCAGCTGTGGACTGACAGAATGCAAACATACTTTAACCCTCACTTTACATTCAACAAATATAATCCTTTACATATGTGGTATAAGACAAAAAATACAAAAACAACATACAAAAACAATGGTATAAGAACTGAGCAGGACTGTGAGCAACATTAGCATGTGGAACTGTTCAACTACTTTAGTACACTGTTTCTGTCGTTATCTCCCACACTCTCATTCACTGTGCAGTGAACATCTGTTCAAGCTCTCAGTCTGAACAGTATATCACACAAACAGAACATCACTGATGGTTTATGGATATTTTGTCCAATGATGGAGAATATTCAGAAATACAGAATTACTCATCATTTTACCCTTCTGGCTCTTTGTTGAGCTGATCACAGAATCCCTTAATGCTCTCCCAGTCATTGTCTTTATTTAAAGGGTTAGTGGCTTTGTCTGTGGAAAAAGAGAAACAAGGTTTGAACGAAATTCCTATTCTGGATACACCATCACCAAAACCAGTACTGTACCAATAATTCACTCAAATGCTCAAACTTGATGTGTTCCGATCCAGTGACATCAAACATTTTTAAAAACAATAATGAATATTTCTGATAAGTCTACCTACTGATCTTTAACCATTCATTTTCACTAATGCTTTTAGTGTTTGCATGACTGTGGTAATGTGTAGTTAAATCGCTGAAGACTGCTGATCACATCCCGCAACATGTAGATCATGTACATGTTTGGGTCACATCACCAGACAGTTCCAACCGACAATAACAGACTTTTATAGGAGACCTTGGCAAAGTGTCAGGTCTTAGTCAAGCACACAGTAAGTGTCTAAAGCCGTGGCCTCTAGGTGTGTGCAGTGGCCATTCTCTCCAGACTATATTTCTGCTTAGAGCAGGCAAAGTATTATGTTCTCGATGTCAGGTTTAGTTGAAGTGAAGGTTCCTGCTGGTGGTGTCACCTCGATAAAGATGACATGTTTTCAGTTGCTAACTGGTTGAGTTAGCATCCAGTTGCAGTATTACGGAGTGTTAAAATAAGCTTGTCAGGTTGTTGTCAACGACTATGTAATGTGCTTTAAAAGCGTGAGCGCTTGACGTCAACAGTGATTCATTATCCGTTTGGTTTCTTCACACCAAGTGCACTTTTCTGATTTGATGACATCTACACTTTTAAAAACACTGAACAGGAAGCACACATTATAAGCGGTAGTAATAAATTCAAAATACATGTAACGTTTCCCATATCGTCAACGGTATCTCTGCTTTGTCTTGCATATAAAACGGGCATAACATTAAATGTTGACTTACTGATTCGAGACTGCAGGCTAACCTCATCTGGAGGCGCCGCCGCCATCTTTCAGGAATAAACAGAGCCAAGGTATCGCGCGAGTTCGATTATCACTTATCGCGTGAATTGATGGCCGTTGTAGCAGCGGCCTCTCTAACGCCCCCAACTGGATTTAAAGGGAAACAACTACGTACATGACATTGAGTCGGGTGGCTCAGTGCAGTTTATTGTTAGCAGCGGTTGGATCATGGCTAGGCACCGGCGTCGGTCTGCATTCATTCACATAAAGTGTCTTGGGGCCTATTTTTCACTGAGTGCTTTACGTTAGCTGTCGTAAAGAGGACGCCGGTAGTGTTATACAGAGTTGCAGTTGCAGATAAAACCACAGCTCGTCGTTCACGACAGGGAGGAAAATCGGCGCCGCTTCAAATGAAACTGGATTTTTGCTGCAAACATTTGGCGGAAAAGACATCCCCAAAGAAGAAGCTAACCGCACTTTAGCTTTACATAAGCCAAGTTGTTACGTGAGAACTTTGTGGGGGAAGCTGTGGATAAAAGGCGTGTGGTTTTCACCCAGTGCTTCTGTTCAAAGTCCCACGGATAAGACTGTGATAAAGTAAAAAAGAAAGATGCTTTATGCAACAGCAAAAGTCTGCTAACAAAACGTTAGCAGGTAGTACTCGTTATTTACCGTGACTCACTGGCGGTAGATGAATGTAACGCTGTGAAACGTCGGGTGTTGTCTCACTGCTGCTGCCGCCGCCCCTTCATCCAAACCCCGGCGATGACACTTCACTGTCCTGGCTGAAAGAAAAACACCAGGTTGAACTGCCTTCCCTCACTTCTGTGGAGAAAGAGAAAGAGACTTTTGGATGATAAAGACGTGAAAGTCCAAGTCCGCCGAATAATGGGATCTCTGAGGGCTCTCCAAGAGTGGTGTCGACTTCAGTGTGAACATTACGACGATGTGGAAATAAAGGACATGTCAACGTCCTTTAGAGACGGACTGGCGTTTTGTGCCATAATCCATCGCTACAGACCAGACTTGATGTAAGTTGTTGTTTTTTCCCATTCCAAATCGTATGGAAACATGTTGTCACACGCCGTTGTTTATATGGGGATATCTTAAATAATAATACTTAAAAACAGATCCTTCCAGAATAAATGAACGTTGACTGGAATCAGTAACTGGTTCATCGTTGCTAACATTTTAGTCATTGTTACCTAATGTGATTAATGATAGTCTCCATCCATCCTATAGTTATATTAAAAACCAGATCTAACAATAAAAGACAGCTCTAAGGTGCCAGCACCATGCTTTACTGTACAGTGAGCAGTTCTGTTTTGTGCCTGACCTGTGGAACCTGTGGGTTCAGACATGGACTTTTCTTTCATTTGTCTATTGTCATTCTGTATTTATTAGTCTTCCTGTCTGTTACTAGGGATGTTTTGTTTTGTAAACTTTGGATTCCTGTCTGTTACTAGGGATGTTTTGTAAACTTTGGAGAGAAATTTTAAGGCTTTGTTTATTGGGACACAGCTCTGATCAAAAGAGATGTAAGAACAATTTACCAATTTGATCAAACTAACAATTAAGTCAAGACAAATAATCAAGTAAAGGGAATTGGGAACAACAACTGGAGATCAGGGGCACGGGAAACAGGACAGATGTGCAAACATCTGACTGCTGTTAAAGATGAAGAACGGTAACAGACACAAACATGTCTGTGGTGTTTCATTCTCTTTCTCTCGCTGCTGTGCTGTAGACAAAATAACAGGTATATAAGTTTTGGTTGTTTTTTTTTACATTTTTGAGGAACACAGAGGTCACTGTACTGTAATTAACCCAGGCTGACAAGTCATGCCCTGTCTGCAACAATGGGCCTTTCTCCATTTCCGACCTACACACACCACTACTCTGGTTAGGACTCTGTCTGCACTGTGCCTTTATCCATTGAGGCATTTGTGCAGTTTAACCAGTAACTGTAACTATAAAAGTTACTCAGATGGGCTTCATTAGAACAGGTTTTTTAAAGGCCCTTATTCAATCTACTCATTTCAAAATACACAGCATCTGTGTCATAAATAGTCCTAAATGGACAACAAACAGATAGCGGTACTGTGCATAAAACAAAAACCAGGAATAACTTCTTTATAAATGAGCAAATGTCCTTAAGTTCACATATTTCTTTGATTAAAACCCATTGATTTAGTGAGTCTTATTGCAGGGACTCTTGTTTTGAAAAACAAATTTCCCACCATCACTGGGTGTTAGTAGTGAACATGTACACTGACATGTAGCACACCATAAAAAAAAAACACAAATCCTGTGTCACATAACTGACTATAATGTTGCTTGTTGTGTTGACGGAAGCAGGTTTAGTGGTTTCATACCTGTTGAAACAAGTCAGTGACTTATGCCGTTGCAGTTAGATGATGTGGTTTTTCTGCAGCGTCACTAAAGAAAGGTCTCCCGGCCCTGACACGACTCTGGTAAAAATAACCAAACAAAAAAGACAGAAATCCTCAACAACATCCAACTTTACAGTGTAGCCTTTCAAGCTTTTGTCCCAGCATGCCTCTCTGTGTAGTAATGATGCAGGCTGACAATTTGTCAGGTTGATCTGCCGATGTGTCCTCAGCCTGTCCAAGTGAATTTACCTCCAACCTGAATGGTCCCTTCTCATCCTTCCCTAAGTCAGGACAAAATGTCACTGTCTAATGAAAAAAAGAAAGAAAACAAAGATATGAGTTCATACAACATGACCTATGTAGTCATCATACATATACACAGTGGCACATATTTGAGTTTTATATCCGGATGAAACACATTTAATCATTCACTCCAGTACAGCGGGTCTCTGTTACTGATTCTGACACACTTGTTTATCTGTCCTCTGGATTCAAATCTCCATATCAGTGTACATTTTTGTCATAATGTGTCAGTGTCCGCCCACATTACTGACAGAAAAATCCCGTCCTTTGTGTCATTGTATGGTGTCAGTATTTGGTTGAAATACAATATTTGGTTAAGCAAATACAACAAAAACAATTGGTACAAACAATTGCAGTAGAACAAGGCTGACATGTACTGTACGTGCAGAATCCAATTAAATTCCACAAAAAGAAAACCAAATTGGTCTCCAGGAAATGGAGGTGTATAACAGAAAAAACCTGATGTAGTAGTACTACCTGATGTAGTGCAATAAAAGAACAAATTAGACTAAAATAAATACCCTGCGAGCCAACGAGTTGACTGTACAATTTTACACGGAATTAGTGCCTTCCATTACTATAGACTTTACTGAAATAAAATGAGGCGTACATTCTGTTCTCTACTTATTTAAAATTTGTCAGTGACTGGGGTAAAGTGGTTGGACCACTATGTAGAAAAACAGTGAAACCAGTTCATGTTGCAAAGAACATGTATTGATATTTTGAGCATGTGAGGAGACAAAGCTCAGAAATAGGTCGATGTTTGATCTTGTTTTTATTTCTGCTGTCGCTGCTTATCATCCTGTATCTTAGCCTTGTACAAATAACCATTTGGCTGAAACAGTGGTCCATCCAGTTGCACATGAGACTTGTCACATGATTTAGATTCATTCAGACAGACGTTATGCTCCACAGAATTCCCTTTTCCCAAAATAAACCTTGAAGTGGGATTCTGAGTCACAGTGAGTAAGTCTTAACGAATCCAGGTCTGACTCAGCAGTAATATTATCGTCTGTGTCAGTGCCCTTGCAGGTACCCACCCTCCCTCCATCCAAGTATTTAGACTCGCAGTATGATTTTTTTTTTCGTGGTCTTTGTAGTGTTGGCGGAGCAGACACCGTGGACTTGTTTTGTCATGATTTTGATATTAGAGCTGCTGCTCCCTGTGGTTGTGGCCATGGGAACTAGATTAGAGAGAACAGAGGTCACTTTGTGCAGCTCCAACACGGAGCTCATTCACAGGATTTTTGCCTGGTAGAACGTTCCACATGGTCTCCACAAGCTCTCACCAGGGTCACTGTTGTTTTTCCTTCCCTCTGCAGTGTTGTTGTGCTCCCAGATACATAAAGTCAACATAAAATGTACTTGTACACACAATCGCACTAGTACTGTAGGACACCCCAGACATTTTCTGGTTTTACTGCAGGATGTTTACTGCTGAGAGCTCTGGCCTTCGCTCCTCTCTGCAGGCATTTCAAAGCACAACCTTGTAATTATGAGCCCCTGGGAACTCTCACTCTGTGGAGCTGCTTCTTTCCTTTTGTCCTGGCAGTTGTTCATATCATACATCATCTTGTGTTTGCTTTGGGACCAGTGTGTGGAGAAGCAGCACTGTAACTAACCCTCCTGAAATGCTCAACGTTTCTGCCTGTCAGGCCAGTAATAGCATTTTGATGCTTGGTAGCATAAGTGGAAATAGGCCAGCAGGCTAAATACAGCAACGTCCTGTGTCAGCAGTGAGACAGGTTCTTCTATATGATCTCTTCGACCGTATTTAGCCTAAAGAGATGTAGAATCTTATAGTTGTCACAGGCTTTGAACTGCACTCTGTGCCAAATGTTTTTATTTATCATTTTATTTTCCCTTGTCCTTCCAGAGACCTTGGTTCACTGTCCAAAGAAAATGTCTACGAGAACAACCGACTGGTGAGTCACTCTACAGCTGTATGGCGAGAAGTTTGATCACTTCACTCACCTTTCATCAAGTTTATGAAAGTACTGTAGTTCAAGGTTTGGAAAAAAGAACACTTCTTCACAGGATCTTTACATCAAGAGAGTTTGGAGCATTTACTTTTTGTTTACTTCTGACTGATGCAGAAAAAGAAACATTTTTAATCAGAAACAAAATAACATCAAACTATGGCTGTGAAACTTTACATTAAACACATTCACACAGTCTTGGTGGGTGCAGCTGATGTCTGCTAGTGGGTGGAGGGAAGAGTGTTCCTCTGTCCTGATTGGGTTTTATGAGGTAAGAGTGTGGAAACCAGAACTCAAAAGAAAATAAAAAGTAATAAAAACCTTGGCTTGCTGACCGTTAAAGATAAAACGCTGAATTTGTACTTTTATTGTCATATTTTCCATCTTGGGCCCCCCCTTTTTTGCTCCTAGGCCCATGATAAAATGGGAGTCTCCTTGTGGTGAGGATGAGCTGAGTTTTTGGCAGCTGTGCTGCTGATGACGTGATCTTTATCCTCCGGGAGCATGGAACTTACTCCATGAGGTTTCACTGCAAACATTAAGTCTGAGTCAGTAGTAGAACAGGGCTCCTTCTCTGACTAATGTGTGACATAATTAAACACATTCTACTCTAGTGTTTTAGAACACAGGAGTATTTTTATTAGTTAGTCACCTAGGACACCATAAAGACAATAAATTATAAAAAATATTAGCCCAAACTTAGTCTCTTCCTTTGTGCTGCATTTTGAAAATAACCAAATGAACAAACACAAAAAAGGGGAAAAAACTTTTTCATGTGACTGACAGCTGGACCTCCCAGTAGAAGCTTGGTTGAAGACAAAGCTCACAATAGTCCAGTTCAAACTTTGTCACGGTAATTACACCAAAACTCAGGCATAAAAATGTGACTTTCTCTGCGTCTAAATGTTTTCCTCTATTTGTTGATTCTGTTATAATACAGCAGCAGAATCATGTTGTTTTAATGTTCTAAGGCTGAACTGACTGACTGTTCTCCACCAGGTTCCAGTCCCTACCCTGAGGTTGGACTGACATTTGTTTCACTCTTGGTCAGATGATGACTTATTTCAAAATCTGTGAAAATGAGGTCACTGTTGTTGTGAAACATGTTTGAAATTTGGATGATGTAACTGTTAGCTTGTGTTCTATTACAATCTAATACAATCTCACACTGACAGAGACACTGGGGAGGTTTTCAGCACTGGTTTTCAAGCTATGGTTGGTGTACCAATGATTGTAATTGGGCTCACTCCAGTGTTACAAGAGGGAATCTGACTCCCAGTGTGTGTGTGTATGTGTGTCACTGACAGTGTGTCTAATAATCATCTGAGGATTACATTCTAACACACACACACACACACACACACACACACGCAGCCACTCTGGATGTGATCTCTGGATTTCAGTGCATGTGTAAAACCAGCCACAGAACATGCTGCTGCTGTTGACTCCAGCTGAAGCTGCCTTGTTTTTGAAGCCAGCAGTTTGTCTTGACCTGTTTCCAGCTCACACTATTTGATCTGTTTGAACAGCTCGGCCCGGAACATGGCTTCTGTAAGGTCTTTGTCTACATGGACGTGAGATGTCTTTCAGTTTGACCACCAGACATAAGGACTAATATCTAAATGATTTTGACTCTTTAACATAGATTCACATGTCTGTATTAAACCGTCATCAGACAGAAAATGAGTCTGTGATGAGCTTTAGTCTGCTTGTGGTTCTGAGCCGAGACACTTTTCAATGTTTATTTTAGAAAAAGAACTTAAATAGTCATTGTCCCTGGCAAACCCCCCAATCACAGGCCCGGTTCTTTCACCACTAGGTCACCCCAGATTTTTGGACCATATTTTCCAGCCTTAATATACTAAAATAGATACTAAATGCTACAGTATTTAAAGACTGAACTTAACTGACTATTTGGCTCAAAGTTTCATTCCTTATCTTTAGGTGGGACCAACATTTGCTTTACTTGGTGAGATGATGACATCAGATATTTAAAAAAATTGAGGACTGAACAACCAGCTACAAAGGCCAGAACCTTCAACTACTGGGGCATCTTAGAGTTTTGAAACATATCGCCCAGCCCTTATAGTGTATATACATGGTATAGTACATAGAAACAGAATAATGATACAGGGGATTGAACCTATGACCACCTGAAGGTAAAACATGTCTTACTCCAGGACCACATCCTCATCTGTCCCAGTTTTTTTACCTTTATATGACTTCACACTACAAAGTTGTGTAATCGATCCACAACTGGAGTCTGGGCTGTTAAATAACTTTACCCACTCTGATGCCTCCTGTGGAATTGTGTCACCAGTCTCATGGTTTTCCTCAGTGGAAACACTTTACTCATTAAGAGTCTGTTGGTTTGTCAGGTACTGAAAACATTTTTTAATGTTCACATAGAGAGATGGACTATAACCTTTTTAATCCCTTGCGAAATTAAGGATGGAAATTAAGGCTAAATTAAGCACAAAGACAACCTGACTTTTGTGAATAGCAAGATTTGGGGTTTGGTCAAATACATGCCGTAATCTAACTGCACCAAAAATGTAAGACAGAATACATACAGGTATGCATACAGTTGATTAGATGAAATACTTCTGATGTTTGAGATTATTGTTGTACACACACTCCCACTCACCTCCCCAACTCCCCCCTTCTTCTGCCTTCTCATCCTTTTACCCCCGTCCAGGCGTTTGAAGTGGCTGAGACGCAGCTGGGAATTCCTGCTCTGTTGGACCCAGAAGACATGGTGTCCATGAAAGTTCCTGACCGTCTCAGCATCATTACCTATGTCTCCCAGTATTACAACTTCTTCAACAACAAGTCTCAAGGTTGGTGCTTTCCAATGATGTAGGAAATTGTTCTGACAGATGTGAGTTTTATCCCGTTGAACGTTTGAATGACCAACAGTATAATGCAATACCTCACCACAGAGAGTTCACGGTCTGTGTAACGTGTGGTGTTCTGTCATATATTAATATTATTAGTTTCAATACTTTTAATATTTAAAACTAAAAGTTGTCATTGACCGGTGTTTGTTTATGAAACCCACTTGAAGAGTATTTGTAGAGATGGTGATGAAAAATATTTACTCTGAAGTATTATTATTATTATTATTATTATTATTATTATTATTATTTCACTTTGTTTTTTTGTTGGTTTTGTGAACTAATCCAAGCAATATTTATTATAAGACCTTAACATCATCTCAAAGGTGACTTAAGATCCTTCACAGTACATTAGTTAAAGTAAATCTAAAGTTTAACAAATGAAAATATAAATAAATAATAATAAAAGGAAAATAAAGAAAATACATTTATACACAAAAGAGCATGAACAGAATAAAATGTTCAAATAAAATAGATGTTGCCAAGCAAAAAATGCTTAGGCCTGTTTAGTTGTACCCAAAACCGATATACTCACAGGAATTCAAGAAACACTTCCACTTGGTGGCATCAAACTTTTGCTTTTATAGTCTGATGCCACCTAGTGGAAGAGTATTTAATTGTTCTGTTTGTCACTGAGGCATGGACAAAATTTGTTAATTTCGGGTCACACCTGATAATGTCTTTCCGCCCACTAATGTACTTCGCCCCAGTGGTTGGGAATCACCGTTTATGTTTTCATGGAACAGCTGAACTTGGGTGGGTGTTTTCTAAGGTCATCAACAACTGTTGACTTCCTCTTTCACAGCAAACCCTCCCTGCATGAAGAGACCAAGTCCTGTAGGTCACACAGAGCCGGCTCAGAAGAGACCTCTGACTCCGTTAGGAGACAGAGAGGCGGAGTCTGAGGTAAGAACAAGATTCAACACAGAGTTAAAGGAAATGTTGACTTTTACAGTCAAGTGCTGCTTGATTTAAGGTGATGGTGAACTCTGTGACCTCAGCCCTGCATGGTCAGAGTCTGCTGCAGATGTGAAAACATTGTAGTTATTTCAGGGGAGTTCAAATCTTAGATGTGTATAATACAAAGACCAAAATATCCACACATGTCTTATTTTCTGATAATGAGTTACTTCCTTGAGTGGCCTTTGTGTTATTCAGCGGGGACGGGGAGGGAGGGGTAAACAACAGAGGTGGAGTGCGTCTATAAAGAGAGCCTCTGTATCCTGTCTCCTTTTTCTGTCACACGCTTCAACTGTTTACCTCCATCCACATATGCCCATGTGCCTCCACCCATCCTCGCCCGTCAACAGATGGAAATCCATTCCTCACCCTCTCCTTCCTGCTCTTCTTGTTCTTCTTCCTTCCTCACATCTGACCCCCCCACCACTGTCTGATCCTGCACTTAGATCATAGGAAACAGGCGGGAGGGAGGTTGTTTAAGGAGGGAAACGCAAAAAGTTATTGATCAATCTTTTATTTAAGGATCATTTCTTAACAAAAAAAAAATGACATTTCTAGATTCCTAACACATTTTTGGTACATTCTCAGATTTACTGCTTATATCATGAAATATTTCCTGTGAAACAACTCATGTCCTAACAGCTGCTGGAGTTTTTCACTAATTCAGCATTTTTTTTATCACAGAATACTTGATCAGTTGTGTTGAAAAAATAATGCTGTATTCAAATACGACAATCAGTAACCAATCAGGTTGTAGTTAGTTTTAACAGAATGAATGATCATCATCCTCAAATCCTGACTCCCATGTTTGATCTCCTCCTTCCCCTATCGCTTTCCATCTCACCCTCCGCTTCCCCCGATGTCTCCTCCTCGGCCCTTTTTTGCCTACAACATCCTGGTCACTTTCACCAGCCGAGCCAGGTGGCACAGACAGGTGGAGGTGAGGCCAAGCGCAGCGCCATCAGCAGCACCTGCGCTGCCTGCCAGAAACACGTTCATCTGGTGCAGAGGTTCCTGGTGGATGGGAAGCTCTACCATCGAAACTGCTTCAGGTACGGTACGGTACTATCAGTAAAGGCTGTTGTGTGTACAATGATGGTGGCAACAAAGTATGGCGGCAAGATTCTTATAATCGTCTGCTATGTGACATCACATAGCAGTCAAAATTGGAATGACTCAATTAAGACAAATTTTCATACTTTGTCAAATTATAAAACATCTACATAGTTGATGCACTAGAACTTTAGGAGTAGACAGAAACAGAACCTGGACAAAGTCCTTTTGACCTATTAGGTCCCCTCTAAGCAAATTATATCCACTCCATTTCATTTGTCTTTTAATATGTTGGTGTTTCTGACAGTGTTGGTCAGTATTTCTGTATTAACCCTCATTGTTCTGTTTCCTGGTTGGTTCTAGGTGCTCACAGTGCCACAGCACTCTGCTTCCTGGATCCTACAGATTGGGACACGACACTGGAACTTTTGTCTGTTCACATCACCTGGCAAGGCAGGCTCTAGCCAATCAGAATGGTCGACCAGACCTCAGTAAGAAACCCGAGGTGGTTCATTCTGCCCGGCTCGACCGCAGTCCTGATCCTCACTCCTCCTCCTCCGTCAGTGTCCAGGGTGAAGCTCTGTCCTCGGGTGATCAAACAAAGACTACTGACGTGCTGAGCAGGGACTCCTCCACTGTCAGTCCTGTTATAACAAACAGCACAGACACAACAGAACAATCAAAAGAGTTGGACCAAAGTGGACCCGTGGAGGAGACACCATGTTCATCTTCTCCACCCAACCCTTTTGACGACAGTGATGAAGAGGACGAAGAAGAAGAAGAAGGAGGAGAGGGAGGAAAAGAGGATGAAACCCAGACACCAGCAAAACCTACAACCAATGAGGACCACCCTTCTACACCTGTCAGTCAAACTGAAGACACCAGTCGACCAGTGCCAGCACCACGCAGGGTTTCTGAGCCTACTCCTCCTCCGCGGCCTGCCCCCAGGTTTCGGCTACATCGTGGAGCAGACGGTGTTGTTAGTGGTGTGTAGTTGTTGTTTACAATTATCCATGACTGTTTTATTTGAATGTTGCAGCTGAATGAACCTTTTATTGTCTGGAGGTCAATAAATATAAAGATTGAGAATGTTAACCAGTTAGAATGTTCTTTTAATAATTTGCAGTAAGAAGTGACCCTGTGGTAAAGTGAATTCAACATTTTGTTTAAGAATGTTTTATTAGCCTGTTTGATCATATAAATAGACCACTTGATTCTAATTTTTCCTGGAACTGCAGGGGAAAACCTGAAGCCTCCAACTCCTCCCAAACCTCGGGAAAGATCCCACTCTCCAGGAAGGTAAGGCTGATTTCCTGTCTGTTTACTTCCATCATTCCACTCACTGCAGTCACATCAGCGTCGTCTTCCTGACAATGTCTTCTCGTAGTGTCTTTGTTTGTTGTCCCTGCTTTTGTTTGTCTGTGTTGATCCATGACGCCTCCATTCCTGTCTCTGTGTCTCTTCGTCCAGCCTGTCCGGTGGCACCCCTAAACCCAAAGACCCACCCTGGCTTGCCCTGGTCCAGTCAGAATCCAAGAAGAAGAAAGCCCCTGCCCCTCCCCCTCCTGGCTTAGCCACACCCAACGCAGGCTCTCTGTCCTCTCTCAAAGGAGACGGCTCCAGACCCAGCACGCCACCTCCACCCTCGAACCCCTTTGAGGATGACGATGATGAAACTTGTGAAGTGGAGGAGGAGGAGGCGGGTGAAGGTGGTGAGACGATCACGGCCACTCACCCATGGTACAGCATCACCAGGGCAACTGAAACTTCAGGGGCCGACACTCCCACGAGTGGAGGAAGTTCATCCCGCTCTGCCAGTCCAGGAAGTACAAGGAGCAAGAAGCGTCCAGCGCCGCGGGCACCGTTGCCTCCTGCTGGCTGCCAAGGTCAGTTTTAAGCAGAACTGACATGTGGTTTTTATCTTTGAAAAAGTACAGCAGTTAATTAACATTTACTAATAAAGGATTTTAATGTGAGTGAACAACAGGATGAACACGTTTCCATATGTTTTCAGTGAGCCAATTAGATGACTGAGAGAATGATGTTTGGTTGATTCTATGGTTCTATCACAAATAATTAATGAACATATTTTCTCTCATCTATTCTCTATTTCCAATCTTTGGCTTCTGTTTCAATTCTGACTCTTTTTTTTTTTTTTTACTCTTCTGTTAACACTTGACATTTTTCTGCCTCAGTCCTGCCTCACTCTGTGCCCTCCTCTTGCTCTCCTTCTCCAGCTCTCAGTATAGAGAGTCTGTCCTCAGGCTCAGACCACAGCTCCTCCCACCCTCCTCATGGTGGCAGTACTGGCAGCGAGCAGGAACACATCTTTACCAAAAGTGTCTCGGAGCCTTCCATCAGTTCACCAGGTGACTCCACAGCCTTACCGCCCTCTTCCTCAAACGAGCACCTTCTTCATCCACCACTCAGCCCGCCTTCCGTGCCCTCCAGTGCCAGCTCAGCTCCCGCCACCCCACAGACCAGCCGCAGCTCAGGAACCAAAGGGACAGCGACTCCTTCACCGCGACCCCAGACCAGTCCCAGCCCATTGGCCGTGGCAGCAGCGCAGTCACACAACAAGGTAAAATGGAAAAACATGAAGGGAAAAAAAATTCAGGTGATGACCCTGTCTTATTTTTGTATTACTCCTATTAATTATTAATTATCTAATAACAACAACAACTGCTACCCCCGCGACCCGGTAACGGATAAGCGGAAGAAAATGGTTGGATGGATAGATATGTAATAAATATTTCTGTTACATTAATGTACCCTTCTTTGCCCAACAAAGATAATCTGAGTTTTCTGAATCTGAGTCTACGAACCTGACTCCTGCCAGGGCTGGGATTTGAACTGACTGTTCTCTGATCACCAGCTGGGTCCTTGAGCCACAGTTTCCCTTCATGCCAATGTCTCCCTTCTTGTTTTAGAGAATCTGTAAAGAAAACCCATTCAACAGGAAAGCATCTCCATCACCGTCCAAATCTAAAACCAAACCACCGAAAGGTTCACGTCCTGCTCGACCTCCAGCTCCTGGTCATGGATTTCCACTCATTAAACGCAAGGTAAAGAAAAAACATTAGAGATGGTTTTAAAGTATATTTTTCAGTAGCACCAATTCAACTTTGACAGTTCAGTGTCAAACCCAGTAGTGAGTGTGTTATTCACCTTCACCTCCAGGTGCAGTCGGACCAGTTCATCCCTGTGGAGGACATCCACGGAGAGATGAGTCAGCTGGAGAAACAGCTGGATGACATGGAGCAGAGGGGAGTGGAACTGGAGAAGAAGCTGAGGGACTGCCCCAACGGTACCACATACCAACACTTTTGAATCGGTTCTAGTGTTTGTGCTCTGATTTTTTAAAACTTATTATGAATACAATTGTAGTTTTTAAGCCCCACCCCAAAGAAACAAACAGTCTGCCCTCGATGAACCGGTTCTGCTGCATGGCTGTCCTATTAAACAGATCAGGGCTGTGGGCCAAGACTCCTGTTGTTTTCTTTGAAAAAAAAACTGTCTTCATCCGTTAAATGATGTTGATAATGAGCTGCTAAAAAAGTAAATGTTTTCTCTGAACAAGATGATCATAAGACACAGGACTGCAAAAACAAATAGAACAAAAGTAAATAGTTGTATAGTCCTTAAATTCACTCCCAACACTTCAACGTTAGCGGTGTATATTGGCAAGAAGTCTGGTGATACGATAAGTATCAGGATACTGCGCCAGTATATTGCGATATACTAGTAGCATGGTGATATATATATTTCTTTTTAAACAATTTAATTGTAGGAAAACTGTCAGCACAGTAAGCACACAATGCTGTTACTTAAAATCCTTTCATTTTCTCAAAAATTGACAGTGCCTTATAATCCGGTGTGCCTTATGGTCCGAAAAATACAGTATGTTAATTGTTAATAAAAAATTGATACAGGACTGTAGAATATCGATATGGTATTGTGAAAGGAAAATCACAATATTTAAGTGTATCTATATTTTCTTACACGCATTATCAACATTGTCACTGTTGTTGTAAAACGTAACTTTTACTACGGATTCGCTAGATGATTGTTTGCATCTTATGTCAATTAAATTACTGTTCTGTAATTACAAATAAAAAAGAACAAGAGGAAACTCAGTCTTCACACTGAGTCTGAACCAATAACCACCTGTGTCCATTACAGATGAAGACGAAGAGCATCTGCTGGTGGACTGGTTCACTCTCATCCACGAGAAACATCTTCTGGTTCGACGGGAAGCAGAGCTGGTCTACACGTAAGTTCTGCCATATTTGATCGTTTCAAGAGCATTTGTTCTTTGCTCTGGTTACATAGTCTAAGGTAATCTAAAATAATCTCTTTTCCCCGAGATTGAATTTTTTTCCTTCCCCACTGCAGAGCCAAACAGCAGAACCTGGAGGAGAGACAGGCTGATGTAGAGTATGAGCTAAGGTGTCTCCTCAACAAACCAGGTGAAAATCAGGTTTTGTTTTTAAAATCACAAAACACGTTGGTCAATTAGTTCATGAAACAACTGAAAAACATAAAGAAATATTATGAATAGAAGGATAATGTGAAAGTTATATCTATAACAGTGGTTAAAAGTCTATGTATTTATTATCAATACTTATTCAATAGGGATGTAATGATACATTCTACTCACAATACGATATAGACTGTAATTACAATTATTTTAAACAAAATGAGCGCCGGACCAAATCGATGATCCTTTATTTGTAAGAACTATCCAAAATACCATTACCAACCGAAATGGTGTTGTGTTTCTCTAAAATGGAAATTGTTATCTTAAATATGCACTCTTCTTTACAGAAACACTGCACATCACCATCGACCTCACGGACTGTCAATATATCAAACAACAAAGGAATATATAAAATATTAACTAAAAGAGTTCCTTTCTTTAGAGAAACACTGTAAAACACTGTTTATGTCTGTGGGAAAAGTTTTTCCCATGTTCTGTTTGAACACCTCACTTAGGCAGTTGGAACCTGACTCTAGGTTTAATAGAGGGTTACAAACAAAGTTTTTAGGCACATTTTAGGTTTGGTTCTGTTGTTTTCTTCCACAGAGAAAGACTGGACTGAGGAGGACAAGAACCGAGAGCAGGAGCTGATGGCTGAACTGGTGACCATCATAGAGCAGCGGAACCAAATCGTTAACAACATGGACCAGGACAGACAGAGGTAATTAATCACAGACCTGGTACTTATTGACTTATGATGTCAGCAAAACCTCTATGACCTAACACAAACTCTGTCACAGGGAAGAAGAGGAGGATAAACTCATGGAGGCCATGCTGAAGAAGAAAGGTCAGAATGTGGATGGTTTATAGAGATCCTACAGATGATGATGATGATGATGATGATGATGAAGATGATGATGAAGATGATGATGGTGGTGGTGGTGGTGGTGGTGCGAGTGATGTCATTCCACATTCTCTTTGTCCTTCTCAGATTTCCATAAGGATCCAGACAGCAGTGAACAGCACAGGAAGAAAGGGGCAAAATTTAAACCAATTAAAGTTCTGAAGAGGTTAAGTCACAAAGGAGAACCGGGTCACAGCCGCAGCTCCAGCAGGGAGAAAAGCTGAAGGAGGCGCTCACACGCCTCACTCCTCCCAGAAGACTTCAGACTATTTTACCCAGACTGAGCACATTTGACATGAAAGAGTGGAAGGAAGGCCTTGGGGTCACTGCGGTGACGCGACCTCTAACTGTGTGGTTTCGGTTGATGGTTCCACGTCTAACCCAGACTTGACTTCCTGGTCTCGTCTTACTTGTTTCTTCTTTTCAGGACAGTTGAAGTTCTTTAGGAGTCGACAGCTCGTTGACCTCTGAAGCCAGTGAGACACGGTTTTAGCCTCTTTATTGCACGGTGACGCTGCCCTCTATGTGACGATCAAGGTTCAACCACAGTGGAATTGAACTCTAGCCTTAATTGAAGTATTTTTAATGCAGATCCGCCAACATTTTTTTTTTTTTTAAATTATCATCCTGCAGCAAGGACTCGCAGCCCAGGAGACGGAGGTCTGAGCTGCAGTTTTATTATTTATCCTTCATGAATGTGTTGTTGCCTTCATGTTATTGTGCTAATTTATCTAAAACTTCAAAATAATTAAATACTAATTTATCTAAAACTTCAAAATAATTCTGTCTTGTTTTGTCCAAATACCAAAGCTATTCAATTTAGTGGCATGGGAGAAGGGGGAACCAGATAATGCCCACATTTAAATGACAAATCTTGCCTTTTTCCTTCACACAGTATAGACTTTTCTTTTCTGATATCTGGATGTACCTGCAGAGTCTACAGCAAAATCCGTGATGATGCTTTTCTGCCTCTGGGCTGCAGGATGAAATGCTGATGAGGATTCTAACAGAGGAGACTAGAGAAAGCCTTCACAGGTACTACATGCACAGCTTTGTCCATTTGAGTGCTTGATGATGTTGAAGATGATGAAGATATTTTGAGCATGAAAAGCATTTGTGTTGAAACAGGCCAGATTTCTACATTATCCCCACTATTGTTTTAATTCAAAGCTGGTTTAGGCCTTTGGTACTAGTGACATTATTATATACTGGCCAACATCTGCTTCTGTCAGTAGATCATCAGTGGTTAGTTATGTCTTTTTAGCTGCTATGCTGCAATTGTTCATCAATTACATGTTTTTTGTTGTAGTCAAGGAAGCATTTTTATAAATGCATACCAAAAACCAGTGTACACACATTCATGAGTAAGTAGAGTGACATTTTAAAACGTTTACACATCCCATGTTAAAAAACCGGAATTCTGTCAGACTGAAAATAGTTTGTTCAATGACACTTGGCTCTTTCATTTTGACAGGACTTCTGTCAAGCACCATCATTTTTCAGAGCCTCTTGTATTTTATCGATTTTTCTTTTTTTGCAAATCAAAAAAATAGACAATTTCTGTGATTTTCATTCTTGTCTTTTATTCAGCCTGGTGCCAACTGACCCATAGTCCAGCTCCTGCCCAAGGCCTGGGTTTTGGGCACCTCTGGACAGTGGTCATGTGTAGAATTGGTTTCATTCATTCAGCCATATTTAATTTTTTTAAATTAACAGAAAATTTGTAATTAAATATCTTGTATTTATTGTTTCACATGAGAAAACCAAGGGGTGTGTAAAGTTTTTATATCCGCTTTCAAAGTGATTTTCAAATCACATGTCAGTTGTAGGAAGTGAAAGTTTTGTGGAAAAGTATTAAGTGTGAGTTGGAAAGTTCTCCGTGGTGTGAAAAGGTCAAACGTTTTTCACATTCAGCTTTAGATCATGTGCACAGAACTTCCTGGAACATTGTTAGAAACCCAGTTAATAACCAATAATACTGTTCAAAGTCCTTGTCAGAGAAATGATTTTAAAAACTGACTCCTTTTTTACAGGTCATATTTATTTAATGTACCACTGAGTGAAGCTTCTTCAGCTATGATTCATGTTAAAGTAGTGTTGTTTTTTCCTTTGGGTCATTTAATTTTGTTTTCTAATGTCAAAGGTCAACATCTCCACTGTATTGGTCCCTGTCTTCCTTTTCCCCTGAAACCACAGGCTTCTGTAGAACTGTCCCTGGTCCTAACACATCAGCAAAGACTGACAATGGGAGACAGTGGAGTCAAATAAAAGAATGTGACAAGATTTGTCTTCTGTGGTCCTGTCGCTAGTTCAATTTCTGCAAATATGAAATGTTTGTTTATGACTTTCACATCCTCGAAGTCTTTCATCTGTACAAAAAATAACAATGTATATTCTGTTGTAGGGATTTGCCTGCCAGCCAGCCAGCCAGCTATGCAGAAGTTTCTGGGTTTCCAAATCTCAGCCTGGTGATGTCAGTCTGGCGTTTTCTAGTCTGCTCCTCTTTTTCTTTCTTCCTCTTGGTCCTTATGGCAGGTCTTTTCCAGAACCTCCAGTTCTCTAATTTTCTGATTACCAGTAGAAAAAAGACACGCACTTAATAGAATCTCATTAAAAGAAGTCCTCTGTGATAACCAAGCTATATTTATAATGATTTTTATCAGTCCGTGGACGAAATGAGGGAAAAGTTCAAATAAAACCTTTTGATAAACTCTGGCGACCCCTACAGGAAGACGCCGGAACATACCTGTGATATTTCAGCGGTAATGATGTGAATGTACTTCTTCTCTTGACCCAGAGAAGCCATGTCTGCCAGAAACTGACGCCTTTCCTCAATCTCATCCAAAACTAAAGAAAACAAACAAACCAACATTTTAATGTGAAATTAAATATGATTTTTTTTCTTTAAAAGTCAATTATATGGACTACCCGTGATAGAGTACACTAATAAAATAAACCAATATTAACAATAAAGAGCTCTAATAACATGATCATTTTAAGTTTAAATATTTCTATGATATTAAAAAGTAAATGGAAGCTGGGAATAGTGATTTAATTATTAAAGACAGGAATCGGATAATGTTAAACCAGTACATGAAAATCAAAATATTAAATAATAAAATGTTGACTAAATTTCTGTTTTTGTTCCAGTGAAGTTGCTGTAAATGTTCCTGTGCTCTTCAGTCTTACCCTCCTGGAACCGATCTTTCTCCTCTGTCACTTTTGCAGGAACATTTGCGTTAGATGAAACTGTTGGCTCTTCTTGTCCTGTGGCCATCAAGCTTTGAAGTCTCCTCTTTTCTTTCTCTAAATCCTCTAGTATTGGAGTAGTGAAGAGACACAGATAAAAGTACTAAAGTATCTAAGGTACTATACTGTGAGCTAATATAATATTAAATCATGAAACAACATTGAATAAGTAAATGTGTGGTTTTTTAACCAGTCTAAAGATCTTTCTGCAGAAGAACCTACTTTTGGGACCAGGACAGAACTTTTCTCTGACATAGCTATTTCCTGAGCGACATGACTCAGCGCTGCGTCTCAGGGGTTTTCCCAACAGCTCTCTCTGGACACGTTCACTGGGTTTGGACTGAGGGGCCTGAGGAGGAGACCTGAGGTCAGAGGCCAGAGGCAGCGCTGCGCCATCTGTGTAAGAAAAACTTTTACTGTGTGAACTTTAGTAGTGTTGTGTGCTGACACCCTGTGGCTTTACACGTACTGTTCAGACAGTCGTTGATCTGTCTTCTCTGCAGGTTGGTGAGTCTCGATTCCTGCATCATCACTGATGGGGTGAAACGCAACATGAATGAAATGGCGTAGGTTGTTTGGACACATTGCAGAGCTGAATAGGTGCATCATCAACTCACATCTCAACATTTCCTGGGTGTCCCTGCTGTACGGAGCAGCTCTGGTGTGGTTCCACAGACCTCCTCCTCCACTACCTCTGAGCTGTGAGGAAGCCTCCATCTGCACATTTAATACACATTACCCACAACCGCTCTGGGCGTCATGTCCCAGCTTAAGTGATATCAGATAAACACAGCCAAATTGAATTCTCAATTAATTATTGAATCCTGAAACTATTAATTAATAATCATGAATTGCATATTTAATTATCAATTCAATCAAATGTTATTTGGAATGTTGATACTAATTACCAGCCTAAATTTGATACGTAAGGGGGCGTATTTTCTAGCTGAGCCCCTATCCCTTCAGTTATCTGTGTACGTCTCTGGCGAGAAAAGGACGTCCACAGAATATTTAAACATACAAAGTATATGTTTGGTCATTGTTACAGTGAGTTAAATGAAACTCAGTCGTCAGTTGTTTTTCACCCTGGTTCTCACTCGTGTTGAAACCTGTTATACCGTGATAACGGCTAGGTGGCTAACAGGCAAACAAAACAAAATGTAACGTAAGCGCCTTTTAATACGACACAAATGTAGGACGAACAAATGCATAAAGTTTAAATAACACAAATTTAACTTACAGTATTGATCTTTTCACCGCCCTGGCTCTTTATATGTGACCAAATTCGCGTAGAGTAGACGATGCTACTGCACCGCAACTGAGTCCTGTTACTATAGCAACACAACTAAAATTTCAAAATATTTCTTTATTCGTTTAAAGTAAGTCATAAGTAACAGAAAAGTGACAAATAGTTAGATACTACAATAGAATTGCGTAAAACAAGTCGCAAACGTTTGACAATAAGACGAAACATTAGATAAAAGATCTAAAAGAAAAGTGTCGAAACTTTGAGATGAAAAATCAAAATTATGAGATAAGGAGTAATAATTATGACGTAGTAAAATCGGAATTATTAGATGATAATCGTGGTAGTTAAAATCACAAAGAAAAACAACTATTGGAATCGTGGAAAACCAGGGGACCTGTATTTTTAGAATTATAATTGGCTGCCCGCTCTTTATCTTGTCAAAACGATAGTATACAATAAACTAATGAACGGGTATTTATTGATTTATCAAATCATTTATTTATTATACATTTACATACTAAAAAGAAAGTTGCTATGTCAACAATTAGCCACTAGATGACACTGAAACAAATGCCTTGTAATTATGTCGATTTTCTTTCCTATGCCTGATTATAAAAACAGTTTTGTCTATTTATGTCCGAAAAGGAATGTGAACATAAATGACGTAAAAAATATATTTTTGACGTAGTTTAAACACATCAGCTAAGATAAAAACAACAAACAAACCGTTTTCTTGTTACATTCAACCAAGAAAGTTTATTCAACAGTGTATATTTTGATAGATATTCTGTCATCAGAGACACATATATCATATCAAAATATACTTTTAAATATTCATGTGAGCATTAAATGTTCCTTAACACTTAACAAGTTTTTCATGCCGCAGGTAAAAAGAAGAATTGGGTTTCTCTGAATCAACTGTCTGGTCTGTGAGCGTTATAGAACGTTAATAACAACCCCGGTCATTAGACGGAGTCCTGCAGCAGTTGTGAAGTCTACGCGATGGATGTTGTCTGGTGTCATCGTCACTGTGAGTCTTTATCAGTGCTGGGCTGGTCATCAGAGATCAGCAGCAGTCACAGCTCCATTATCTGTGAAAGGACAGCAGTCGGACGACAGAACAGATAAACAGCAGCCAGAATTTGATCATTTTCCACACACTGGTCTTCTCAGAAGTCAGAGCTCTAACAGGACAAACAATCAACATCAGATCTGCGTGTACATGAGTTCTAAAGGAGTGCTGGCTTTAAGAGCAGCTTTTCATACACTTAAAGACAGGACTGACTGTTTGAGTTTGTTTAATCCTGACTTTTGTAGATCTGATATTAATGTGTTTATATGTTCATCATGCAACAGTGTTGTTCTATGACTTGGATAAAGTGTTAGTCGTTTTTTTTAAAGTAAAAAATTGAGATGAAGAGAAATTCAACTTATCTTCAAGTCAATATTTGCAGCGACAGCTGTTTACCTTCAAAACAGCATGACACTCTTTGTCCAGTTTTGTGAGGAACTCATTTAGTTATTAGTTCCAAACAACTTGAAGGTCACTCTGCAGATGTTCTGTGGATGTCGTCTTCTCTAATTTCTACTGTCCCTACATCCAATCCCAGTCTCAGTCCATCAGGGTCAAGACTGTATTGAGACCAGACCACCACCACTATCACATCTCTTGTTCTTCTTTGTGCTTTTTAGTGACATTTTCTGTATTGTTGGAGTCAATGTTTTGCTGCAGAGCAAACTACGGTGCAATCAGACCCTTCAGCGATGGAACACGATGATGGTAGGAATTTGCTTGTACTTCTCACTGTTGAAAACATCGTTCATTCTAACCACAATTCAACAACCTTTGACCTTTGACCCAAAGGGTTCTGAGATCCTTGTACTGCCGGATGTCATAGACTTTAAAGATAAGTCAGTACAAACTTTTCAGCAGCTGTAGTAGTAGTAGTAGTAGTAGTAGTGCAGTAACATTTCTAAATACAGTAAGTATCTAAATACAGTAACAAGTATCTCAGTACACTGACTATAAGACATTCAGTGTTGACACTGTCAGTTAGCATCACCACTCATCTGGATTACAGACAAATATATTTCATGTTGCCTGTCAATCACAAACTGGTTCCCACCACTTTTTTCAGAGTTGAGGTTTTACTGTAAATACCACAGAGGAGGAAGACAACGAGTGGCTCTGAGGTGAGATAGAAAAGTGTGGTGGTGATTGTAGATGAGCCATCGACCAGTGGAGATGTTCTGTCCTACGCTCCACCTTCTTAACGGTCAAGAGCTTCATGAAAGAGAGAGATTTGAAGGAGGACTCACAGCTGACAGAGATAGACAAGCCGAGGAGGCAGAGACAGATATCGGGGAGGAATGGTGGCGAGAAGAAGCAGTTTGTGAGGCCTGACTGGAACTGACTGTTAGCTGAGGGAGGACAGAAAAATTAAAAAAGTTATATAGAATTTAAAAACAAAATCAGAAAAACTGTTGACCATATCAAAGGCCTAGATGGCTGTTACACAGGCTGTGCTCCCTTCATTCAGCTCCTTCTCCAGCATCACTCCATCCACTGACAGCATGAAGGTAAGTTCCATCAGTTCACTTGTTTGGATCCTGTTACACAGTTGCATACTTTTGAACGGGAATGAAGAAGGTTTGGTTAAAGGAAGTTTATTTGTATAGCCCAGAGTATAGAGAGTTGATATTAACAGTATTATATCAAGTGAAATTTGTTTTACAAATGTTTTTTAGCCCTGAACTAATGTTTCCTTTTATAACTGATTTTTTTTAACTAAATAATTTTATATTTTATACTCCTGAGAGAAGGAAACTTTTTTTTGGTTTACCTCACAGGTAAGACGAGAAGATCCGTGGTCTCTTTATATTTCATGTTTCGTAGCCTATAGGCGACTTCCTCTCACTGACACGATCGAAAAGCTTGATTATCTGTCTTTGTTGTTTATCTGAACTTGAGATTTCCTTCGCTTGCTTTTGAAAATATTTCAAAGTATTGTTACTGGGAGAGGTAAATGTTTTTAGAGGTGGTGATATTTTAAAGGTTTGAGAACCACAGGTTTAGAAACGTCAGTTAATCATGGTGTTGCTCTGCAGTTTTTTGAGGCTTTCTTCCAGCCCATGGTGTAAAGTTCTCTGGTTAAGACATGACATGTAGAGGCGGCCACCTGTCTGCATGATACTGTATGCACAAATGTTGCATTTGTTATATTTGTAAAAATATGTAACTCTTCTGTAACCTGATTTGATAATGTGCAGGCGTGGAAGACTGAGGGCAGTTCTCTGCCTCTGGACGGTCTCGCTACCAAACTGCCACCAGGCGGCAGCAGTGAGCAGCAGCAGGTGTCTCAGCAAATGACAGAAGAGATCCTCAATGATGACAGCAGAGCATCATGGGACATTGAGTTTCTGCTGTCTGAATGGAGCGACCCTTCATCTGACTTGAACCCCTCCCTGGAGAACACTGATCAGAGGATCCCACAGCTGGAGCCCAGCTCATCGTACCACCTGGAGGCGAGTGCGTTAAAGGAACCTTCAGCTGAGGAGTGTCTGCAGGTGAGCAGTGGACTCCTGGTGTCGGAGCTCCTGCCTCCTGCTCAGACCACACCAGTGCAGCAAGAGCTGTACCAGTGGGGTTTTCATGACAACCAAAAAGGTCAAAGTGCATTTCCTGGTAGTTCAACCATTGATCGATTTGGATTTCAACAAATCAGCACAGGAAACCACAGTAAGGTCACGCCCTGGGACTACAACTCCTACTACACGCAGCAACATCCATCCATGCTGACCTTCCATGACTCCAGGTTCATCCAAACTCAGGCTCTGACCCCTGACCTCCGACACTACACCTATATGACCAACTTCAACAACAACGCCAACGTTTTCTGTGACAACAGCCAAATCAATGGTCAGCTGCCCCTTTACCAGCAGCCTGTGCTCATTCGGACTCAGCTGCCCCCTGCTGGAATGGAGGGGAAGCGTGGGCGCAGGGCCACGGGAAAAAAGAGGCCGGCCATCCACAGCTGTGAGTATCCAGGCTGCAGCAAGACCTACACTAAGAGCTCGCACCTCAAGGCTCACCTCCGGACCCACACAGGTACAATAACAGGTATTAACTATGACTTGTCACAAATATGAGTGTGCAGATGTATAAACATTTTATGGTAATTATTTATACAGGAGAAAAGCCGTACCACTGTCCTTGGGAAGGCTGCAACTGGAAATTCGCTCGCTCGGATGAGCTGACGCGACACTATCGCAAACACACGGGACAAAAACCCTACGAGTGTCTGCTGTGTCAGAGAGCGTTTTCCCGCTCTGACCATCTGGCTCTTCACATGAAGAGACACAACTAAAGCACACACACTCACACACACACTTACATACTCACACCTGGACACATTCTCAAATTTATGCAGCAAATATTGTTATTTGGTACTGCACTCCAAAGACCCCTTCCCATTAAATAGGACCTTAGAACCAACACCTTGTTGTTGAAGGTCAGGAATGATCTAAAAATGATAAAATCAGACAATATGTTATTTGTTATGTCAGTATTCACTTTGTATTTTACCAGTTCCTCTACCGGTTCTTGTGCTAGTGGTCAGGATGGATGGAAATCTTTAACAGTTAACAAAAAAACCAGTAGGTGTCAGCAAATACACAGAAAGCCATTAACACCCAGACGAAGATAAAACTAAAAGCTGGAGGAAAGAGCGGTGGGGATGTTGAGGGGAAGTAGCTCAGTACTGATGTTGGTCGTGAATCTCTAAACCATTCTAGTAATTTCTGAATCATTTTCTTGTTAAATTGCAGTTCTGAGGAAACATTTCTGCCGATATTTATTTTTACAGTCCAAATCAACCAGTATGACACGCCTTCAGAACATTATAGCTTTTCTGGCCATAAAAGCTGACCATGAGTCTTAAAAAAATAAATGAAGAAACACTTAAATATGCAAATACTCTTTCTGGTTATTGTCAAAGGATCCAGTGTGATTTATATTCAAATACATTAGCGTCTGTCCAGACTGCAGCAGGAGTTAAAAAAGTCAAGAGTTTGGCTACAGGAATGTGGCTAAAAGTCAATTAAAACATTATCCAACAAATGTGAACCAGAAACAGTTACAAAAATGTAGTTCTCCTACATGTATAAAGTGTTATAGGAACACTGTAGACAGCAGATCTGAACACTAAACAGTGACCGAAGATCAAACATACGTTAATGTAGCATACAATATGTGGGGATGTCTGTTCTGATCATGTGATCTCCCTCACTGATTGTAACTTTGAACCATCTGAATGTACACGTGAGGCAGACTGGTGCAGGTCTGTCTTTAAACATTTATATCTTTAATATATATTTTTTCTCTCTTTTCTCTCGACAAGCTTCATATTCGCTCATACATTTTTTTTCCTCATTTGTTTCTGTGTTCATCTTAAAATGAGATTGAGATGAGATAGATATGTGTATTTATGAACATGATCTTTTCTAACAACACAAATTCAAAAGTTTTATTATAGTACAATTTATTGTTTAATTCTCACTGGGGTGCTTATAAGAATTGTAAATCTGGTGTTTTCATTAAAACTGAATCATATCTGTAAAAACATTATTTGTCAACTGCTATATTTTCAACTTCCATTGCTTTTCATATATAATAATACTAATACTAATACTACTAATAATAACAATTAAATAAAAATAAAAACAAATAATAATAATTAAAGAATAACGTATTAATTGCACAAAATTTCAAAAGTATAAATTCAGAATCTCCATTCATTTTGAGTCCTTAGTGCGGTCCTTGGTCTGGTCCATAGTCTGGTCTATAGTCTCGTCCTTGGTCTGGAAAAAACGCTTTCGACCCCTGTAGCATATACTGTATAGCGTTGTATCGTGTGTAAATCACTGGCCACAGGGTGGCAGTACTGTATCACAGGGTACAGGCAATGACGTAAAACAACTCTGGCCACATTTGGACGGAAATGTCCCAACATTAAAGAAGGCCATGGTGACAGAGGAGGGGGTTCGGTCCGGTCTGTTGGTGCAGCATGACGATAATTCTGATTCTGCAGGTTCGTTCATCGACCGTTGATAGTCTGTTGTCCACCGAGACTGTGTTTAAAGTGAGACAATCACCAGACCCTGCGTCAGCACACTGAGTTTGTTTCAATGCAGGGACTGAGGTTTTATGATGCAGAGGTGAAGTGAGGACAGAGAGAGAGAGCTGTGACCTCGTGTTCACCCCCCTAAAAAAACAAAAACAAAAAAACAATCGAAACAAAAAAACAACCTCCGATTCCATTATCTATAGTTTAGACATGCATGTATTTATTTATTTATTTTAGAATATGTAAATTCATGGACTATTTTTGAACACTTTCAGGAACTTTTGATACATTTTGACAAACCGTTTTGCTAACTTATATGCATTTTTAACCAATTTTTCTTTTTTTTAAGTAAAATTGGCCTTGATATTCATTTTTTTCTTGGTTATCTTTGAGCTATTTTTGGATTAGCTTTAACCAATTTTACTGCGATTCTTTGGTCAAATGTTTTCAAGATGCTAACTTCTAATTGTGTATGTGGTCTAACTATTAACCACTGCCTTGGTTTATAAAATACTGCTACACAATATAGTTATTCTTTTATTCTTGTGTGTGTTATTCTTGTTTTTCTTGTGTGTGTGACTAATTGTTATGTACTGTATTCAGGTCTGTATTCAGTCCTATTTGATTCTTTTTTAAAGAGATGCTATCTTTCAATGATAGATAGTTGTATTCAGGCTGTCCTGGGTTAACTTTCAGCTCTCTGCTGTAATGAAGTCACTTTGAACCTTGATCATTTTGGTCAAATGTGATTCTGCTGTACACGTGGCTGAAATACGTTTAAACTCCTTGGCTAACTTTTGTCAATATTACTAGCTATTTTCCAGCAATGCTAGTTTTAATCATGGAGAACGAACAATAACAGTTGGTTCTGTCTTTTATTGGTTTGAGCTATTCTGGTATTTTTGAGTAACAATTGAATATTTCTGTCTGACTTTCTGATAATTCTTTGCTAACTTTTAGTCAGCAGGTTTTTCCTTCCTGTTCACGTCATAACTAATCTTTTTGTTTTCCTCACACTTTTTACAGCCTGACATCAACTCTCTGTCAAAGATTAACTCCACACTCCACTGAGTAATTATTATAAAAAGTACTTTCACGTTTTATATTTAGATTATTTTCCAGTTTGTGTTAAAACCAGTCAGATAAGAATGTGCAGCTAAAAACATGTCTGACGCTGGACTTAATTTCATTCAAATCTAAATCAAATCATTGTTATTAATAGTGACACTAATGATCAAAGCAGATTTTATGACATAACTAGTTTTTTGTTATATAATAGAGACCCCCCCATCCCTCTCCTCCTCGCCCCATCTTATTTCTTCTCCTTCTTTTTTCACATTCATATTTATTCAGGATGGGAATGGAAGGTTTGCCGAGGACACATACGTAATTTAACCTTATTCTTGTTTTCCTCTTCTCAGAAAAGATCGATCGCTCTCCTTCCCTTCCCCCGTCAACTCCCTTTCTCCGTCTTCCTCTATCTTTCTCCCTCTCCCTCTCTCTGCTCCCCCTCCCCATCTTTGTGTTTTACTGTGTGGATAAAGGACATTTCAGGACACTGGTTTGTGGATACTGATAACAGAGTTTGCAGAGTGGTGGTCATGTCTACTATTACTCACAGTGATGATGATGTGACACAGTCAGTTCATTTGCTGCATCGGCGATCTGCAGCTAAATGTTACATTGACTTATTTTATTATAATGGAGATTAAATTGACCGAACTGAACGTAAATGTTTTAAGTAAGTCAGGGTTACTTTACTGCTGACAGTTTCATATATACAGTAGATACCATGAGGCAGCAGGTTCAAATCCCGGCCTGTCTTTTTTGTGCCCCGCTGCCCCCAGTGATGTATTCAATTCAAGTTTCAAGTTTCAGCTTATTGTGGGTCAGAACAGCTGTGGGTTTAGTTGAAGATGTGGCCCACAGTCTGGACCACAGTAACAGCCAGATAGAAACCCATAGTTGTTGGCGATGTGAAGTAGTGTGTGTGACTTTGTTGACCAGACTGTGGTGTAAACACTGTGAGTCTACACTTTTACCTCAGAACAGTATGAGACACAACTTAAACATCTCAGTCGAACTGGCAACCCTGCATGTGGCAGCTCAGATAAGGGTTTCTGGTACAAATGTACTTGACCCCCCACCCCTCCCACCAACCCCCGCTCGAAGTACACAAGGTCCAACTAATGTCTATTACTCTATGTTCCCTCTTGTGAGAAGAACGGTCAATCAAACTCATCCTAGTTGTTACACAACATCCCATCATCATCTGAACACTGAGAAGCTGTTGCCACTGATGGTGTGTTTAACCAGGGAGGGAGGAAGGGAGGGAAAGACAAAGAGAGGAGTTGAGGAGAGCAGAGCAAGGAGTGAGGAGGTTCTCCTGAGTTGAACTTGAGTGGCCACACACACACACACACACAAAGTCAAACAAGGCCACTGTGTTCACAGTCTGTTACTCAGATGAAGGATCACAAACACATACATTCAGAAAGCTTGTGAAAAAAAAACACAGAATGTGTTTCCTTCAGGATAAAGTATAATGGTATAGAAAATAATAATAATCTTTCTTAATTTATGTGATTTTCTGTGCTGAGTTCATGCGCACGATGCTGCCCTCCATCTGTATTTTCTCTTTTTAGTTTCTTTGAAATGGTCAACAACACCTCCTCCAATAATCTAAAGAGTGGAAAAGAAACATCCAGTAGGTGGGAGTGTGCATAAATTTCGCAGAGATGTTGTTAAAAGCCTATGAAGAAAAACATGGTGAGTTGGCCTCAAAATTATACTGTGATGCATCTTGTTGAAAAAATTTAATTTCGTAACTGCTCGACAATAGTTTTACCAGAGGTGGCGCTGAATCAACTTGCTTAAGGAAAAAGTGAATGGTTCATGTTTTTTAAATGGGTTTATTTTGTCACAGGGGAGTGACACTCTTTGTCCATGTAGTGCCCCACCTGGTAAAGGAGAGAATTGCATCAGAATCACTGAATCACCTTTTTGTTCTCCATTGACCTCAGGCCAGACCTTAACAAGACTGTGAAGACGGAGGAATGTTACAGTGATGTTACATCACTACTGATCTTTTACACCTTGACCATTATCTCGCTGTTATGAAGACGTGACTACAATTACACTGGAAATAGAAGGTGAGCCATTTTATGAAGTTGTTGCATGTTGCTCAAGCAAACTGTTTATGGCTTTATCTGATGTTGTGGGGATGTGTGTGTGTGTGTGTGTATACCATCTCAGCTCCTCAACGTGACAATATTTATGACGTTCATAAAAATACTAACAGGCTGTGACCAGACCCTGTGGACTGCAGCGTTCAGTCAGTTTAGATCAGGGGTCTCCAACCACTGGACCGGGGACCAATACCAGACCGTGGCCTGCATGGTATTTTATTTTTTTAAATATTTACTGCTGTCTGCTCTTCTGTATAAATTACAATCCAATAATACCAGAAATGAAATAATAATTATATTATATATGTAATAATTATATTATATTTCATACACGTTACTGTGTTTTGTTATGCATGTGATGCACTAAGGTTGAGGAACCCTAATTTAAACCGTGTTATGACATCATCATGTCATTTTGACTCAGTTTGGCTCAAATTTCTCACTAAGCTGCTGAAAATGGAGTTTTAATAATTCGTCTTCACTGCTACAGGACGGTAAAATTCGTAGCTCATGAGGAGTTTTCATTTCATCTTCTTCTGCAGCTTCAGAGTTGGGGGGCAGTAGTGTAGTGGGATGTAGTGAAGAACAATTAACAACAAGTAATAATTTTTGTGTACTTTTCCATAACTGATAAAGTTTATGAATCTGAACAGGAAACAACAAACTTCTTAGATTAGGGATATCTGATGTTAGCGTTTTGCCAATATCCTGATATTGTCCAACCATTTAATTTCCGATTCCGATATCAACTGATACTGATATAGGCAATATACAATAGGCAATATACTGATATATACAAACCACTGTATGAGTATGAGATTAATTAAATGAGATGCAATGCTGCCATCTAGTGATTTTAACTTTAATATACAGCAGTTTATCCCCAAAACTATTTGGGTTTTCATAATCGGAGGACAAAACAATAACGATTCTTACAGATATTAAATAATTATGCTAATATCTGTGGCGGTTTGGCCCAGAGGCAATGTCTCTGTCATTGTCATCTGTGGAAACCCAGGATTCACCTCCTGGGTAAGATCAAATCTCGGTTAGGGCTGTTGGTACCTTCCAGTGGACTCACCACCCGCAAGAAGGTTCACGGGGGGCTGGTGTGGTGCAGTGAGATTTGGGTGGTGGTCATGGAGACTGCTGCCCGGTAACGGATAAGCGGATGAAAATGGATGGATGCTAATATCGGGGCTATAATATCGGTTGGCTGATATTATCGGACATCCCTACCTAGACCTAGACCTGGACCTATTTATGAGGGGATGATACATAAGCAGGGGTTTTTCCAGAAATCCAAAAATGTCTCTTTTTCTCGTTTGTTACCAGCTCTTCCAGCTGAACCCTGGGGCAGTGACACAGTTTCCTTTTCTCGGAATTCCACCCCTGACCTGGATATTTTCCCGTCCGCATGCACCACTATGTCACAGCTGGCATGTTCAAATACATCTGTCAAGGTCATGGTAACAGGTCAGCACAGACACAGTTGTGACTGAAGAGAAGTGAATGCGGGATGTTGTGGACGTAAATGAAGACCAGGACTGTTGTCTTCTGTCTAATGATTCTGACAAAGAAACAGAGAAGTTCTGTCTGGAAGAATTTGCAATGCGGAAGTGTCAGTGTAGCAACAGACGGCTCATGGAACAATGTTCCTTTTTTTTCCCTGTGCAGCCTCACCCCGACTGAACTTCCATCCCTGCGTCGTCCTCACATGCTCTCTGCCTCGTTTCACCCTCTTCCCGAGTATTACATAACATCTCTCTCTCTCTCGCTCGCTCGCGTGCTTTTCCATTCACACTATCTGATGGTATCTGAACGGCCCACTATCTCTGGACAACTGCCTGTACATTTACAGTGCAGTATTATATAGTGTAGTTTGTACATTAACCCACGTTCCAACATGCAGCTGAGGTTTTTATTTGACACTCGTTAAGTAATGACAAAGACTGACAACACACTCTGTTGATTGGTACTTTATGAAAGTACTGTCTCACCCTGTCAGTAATTACTACACACATTGAGTGTGTAATAATTACAGGGTGAGACAGTACTTTTGTACTTTCCCACCATTCTAATGTTTCATGTACATTTTGGTTTTCACTTTTTGCACAGATGGGGATCTGAACGTCACTAAATTGTGACAATAACGCAATTCTCGTTCTCGCCCTGTTTTCATTTCCTTTACTTATTTCCGTCCTGTTCCTGTTCCCAGTCCTACTCTTGTTCCGGCTCTCGTTCTTGTGAGGCCAATGTTTTTGCTCTTTACTCCTAACAACAATGTTCTGCAGCAGTTGTTTGCTCTGTTGCAACTGAACTTGAAGATTTGGTTGAAAACGTTTCTCATCTCAGACGCCTCTAGTGTCGTTCCACACCCACAGAGCAGAGAGAACAGTCGAACAGAGCAGGTTTGTTTACGTGCAGCCTTCCAGTGTTGACTGCATTTAAAAACATCCGAGTCACATGATGACACAACAGTGACTTATGTTGGTGCTGTTTGTTTATGAGACAAAAATAAGGCTTTGAAGTTAGAAGTCAATCTGGGTTCAGAGAGTTTTTGACTAAGGCAGATGGATTCGTCTGTGAGGTGATGTCAAAGTCAAAGAAAATGTAGAAAGAGTCGGAAGTACATTTTGAGAACATGTTATGTCATTATGTTATAATGTGACACGTGAATCATTTTATTTTTCCTGTTGTTTTGCCTCACCTTGATGTCCTGTGTGCATGGCTCAACATTTGAAATATTGAGTCTCATTCTTAAATGACTAACTGAAGTATTTTAATCCGATCTCATGGACAAAATAAAATATTATCAATATCTAGTCACGGGCCAGATTTAGAGAATTTATGGGCTGGAAGAGGCCCTCAGGCCAGAAGTTTGACTCTTTTGCTTTATTTATTATTTATCTGTACAGTGAGCAGGTCAAGAAACAACTGTTACCTCAAGAACAACTTCAAAATTTGGTTCTATGTGATTTCTTTCTCCTGCGAAAGTTTTGCTGAGAAAAATTCACTTTTTGTGTAATTTTATGCGTAAAACCCTAAACACAGGGTCGGTCAGAGACACATGGACGCTACTGTAATTTAGAGACAGCCTGAAAACCAACGTTGACATGTTGCTGTTGACTCTGCTGTGTTCCCTCCCCTGCCTTTATTCAGCTGGCTGTCAGCTACAAGGAGGAGGAGGAGGACGAGGAGGAGGGAGGCAGGCAGGGAGGGTCAGCCGGGGTGAGGATCCGACCCGGGCTGAACTAAACAGCCGCTGATCGGGAGAAGGAAACAGCAGCGAGATGCTGAGCTTCTGAGGAGCAAAGACATGCAGCTCCAGAGTGACGAACTATTCCTGTCCACAATGGCCGCCTGCTGACTGAATTGTAAG